TGGGTTGAGGAGCTGCTTGAGGCTGTGGTTGGGGGGCTCGACAGCTGAGTTTAAAATCTTTAGCTCACACGTGCATAGAGAATATCCCTGCAAAGTTTCAGATTTCTACTTTGCCTGATTCGCGAAATCGTTTCCCGCCAACATTTTTCTTTGGGGTCCCGTACGCGGGGTCTGGGCGCGCATGGGGAAAGATCTTAAACCGGGAGGATGGCACACGGGGTAGGAACATATATCCAAAGTTACAGCCTCTCAGCCTTCTTGTTTGCTGAGATGAAAGTGGGTGACAAAATGCACTCGTTCCTGAACACACACACAGAGCCTCTCGACAATATGCGTTTTTCGCTATAGCGCTGCACAACAAAAATGCATAACGAGACCTCATTTACGACCACGCAAAATTTTTGGCACAAATTACTTGGAAGTCGTAGAACTAGGAGACTGAGATTTTGGAACAGTATTCGCTGTCCAAGGTTTTTCAAATTCAGCTTTCGCGTATGCTTGCGTTTCACGCACTGGTACGTGAAATTTTTAATGGGAAATTTCGGAGCTTAGGAACCAAACAAACTATCGTCTAATCTTTCACAGACCAAACTGTAAAACAATGAAAATCCTCAGGAGGCAAACGTTCGCTGGCCGAAATTGCGCAAAAAGTGTAATTGCACCGCTGTCCTGGTGCGCACTGCTGTTTATTCTGAGTTGATGAGGAAAGAGTCAAGACAAGCTAAACTCATGCAAAGTCGCAAGCTGTTATGCAACACACATATTTTGACTGATCTCGACGTAGTACATTTCCGCACTATAAATCTGCACCTGTGGGAACTACAAAAAAAAAAAAAAAAACTCATGAAAATGTTAACTGACCTGGAAAGCCAACTCGTCCAGGTTCTCCAGGACGTCCTGGCGGTCCTTGCGGTCCAATTTCCCCTTGAGTGCCTTCATGTCCTGGTGGACCTGGTGGGCCACGAGGACCTTGAGGGCATACCCGACACCCATCATTCTGTGAAAGTCTTATTTTAGTGGATCTCAGCAAAACAACTCTGGAAGTTATCTAAGGTAATCAACTCAGTTCAAAATTCTTTGCAGTACATAAATTAGTTTATAAAAAACTGTTCATATTTGGAAAACTAACATAGTTGGTAGTGACCGGAATAGCATTTCCGGGTAGCCCAGGTGTTCCTGGCGGACCTGGTTCACCAGGTGCTCCATCTTCTCCCTGGAAACTTATGAGCCACTTACACAATATTCAATAAAACAAATGAAATTTGCGTTGCCACCAGACACACAATGCTCGATACTACTTTGCTACATAATTTCAAACCGCTGTTTGGAGCAAAGTTTTTTAGGCACAAAAAATAGGCTAATATCATTGAGTGATGTAAAAATGTGCACTCAATATCATGATAAACAGAGCAGAATGAAGCGTGCTCGACTTCACTTCGTATAAAAAACTAGCAGACTAACGGGTTTTCCTGGTAATCCTGGTGGACCTGGAGGGCAAGTGTTCGATGATTGGCATTCTGAAATTTGATTTTTAGTTGCAGAAAATTAATGAAAAATTTGCTGCAGCAAATTTAACGCCGCAGGAACTATGAATTGACAAATTATTAAACTTGTTTGACTGGAAAAATATATTAGGTATCAGGAGGTACACAGTCATTTATTGACTTTTTCAACAAAATTCACCACAAACGGATTGTCGGACATACGCCTCTGGCTTGGAATATTCATTGTGCAGTGGATAAACCTTCGGTAGCGATTCGTACTGAAACAAAAATTTGACAGAAATGTGACTAGATTCAGTAGATCACTGATTTCAAATTTGGCACTGAGAAACAGGAGGAAAATAAGAGGAAAGAGAGGATAAAAAGTTGGCCAACATGAATACAAAACTCAGCCAGAAAGAAAAGAATTTTTAATACTAAGAATAATGAGATGTTCGGGCTCGTGTTAGTGATGTTATTAGGATAGTCCCACACGCTGAGCGCAGCTATATCAGGCCCTCTGATCTTAGGCTGCATATTTCCAGTCTGTAAATCGCCTGTTCGATGTTGGTGTATCACTTCTTCGGGCGTCGCCAGAGTGGTCGTTTACTTTCCTAATTTTCTATTATTTTTCAGCCTGTATTTGTCTATAGTTGCATCTCTTGACTTAGTTCATTACTCACCAGTGTTGTGTAGTGTAATGAGACCTAGCCAAGATTTTTCAGAAAAAGAGCAACTAATAAATTTATTGCAGTGGCACTTCTAAGAATTTTGGAAGCAGGCTGACAGAAAACATAACTTATGTTAAAAATACACTTATGAATATAAAGCCAGTATCTACGGACAAAAACTGCAAAAATAAACCACTTCGATTAAAAATTGATACTTGACACGCGCACATCGAAAAAGAAGATATCCCCCTTTTACAGTTTCTCAACTTGCATACATCCGCTCTGCACCTCCAACATCAGTAGCAGTTTCTCCGACACTAATTGAATTTGGTTACACTTCTTGACGCAAAAAATTTATTATGCTTCAACAGTCTTCGTGTTCTGCCCTTACAGAAAAAAACGGCGGTTTCTCTTGCATATATCACTAACGATAACAAAAAACTCGAAAGGTTCGAAATGAATCTGCACCTGTCGTTTTTCTCTGGTAAACCCTTTTGCCTCAATGAGCTGTTCCCAGGCTTCATTGGCGATCATGCGAAATTCATTGGAATCGATTTTCAACTGCAACTATTACATATCGTTTGGTAGCACGAATTCGCTAAGAACAGCAAAAATATGGGGAATTATTGCGTTTTGGACTACCAAAAACATTAAGGTCGGTTAGACCGGCGATGTGAAATTCGTACTAACTAATTCAGCACACTGAGTATAGCTCTATTCCTATCCTGAGTTTGCACGTCTTCATTTTGTGCCCTTTGCTTACGTCCCTCTTATTTTTCAACAAGGCTATGTGTTTTTGTGCACGCTGTGCTGCAACAGTTGCACAAGCGCAAATTGTCGAGATCTGTCTGTGTGTGTGTTTGTATGTATCTGCGCGTGTGTTCTGAGTGCATTTTATCAGAGAGTTTCAACTCGGGAACTAGAGAAGCTACGAAGCCGAAATTTTAATAGAATGTTCCCCGCCCACTTGCGACTGCGAATGCTTTGTCGGAGAGAATTATTATCTCGGGAACCACAAAAGCTAGAAAGCTGAAATTTTAGCAGAATATTCCCTGCCCAAGTGCCACACCTCAAATTTAAATTCAGCCTCCGTGTAACCCGAGTACCACACAGCCCTGCATAAGTTTCGGCAGGGAAAATTATTGTCTCCGGAATCACGAAAGCTGAGAAGCTGAAATATTAAGGTAATGTGCTTTGCTCCCTACAATCCAACATATTCAAATTCAGCCTTCCCGTGAGCCTGGATACCACGTACAGCCCCGTGAAACTTTCGGAGGGGAAGCTTACTATTTCGGGAAAAACGAAAGGTGGGAGGCTAAAATTTTATGGTAATGTTTTCTGCGTATGTGCGAATCGCAAATTTAAACTCAGTCTTCCCACTTGCCTGGGTACCATGTTTGGCCCCGTGGAAGTTTTGGTGGGGAAAATTGTTATCTCGGGAGCGAGAACAGCTGGAAGAATGAAAACTTCAGGAGGATGTTTTACGTTTATGCAGGGGCTTAGCAGACTATGTGAGACTCCCATCCCCTGCCCCTTCTCCCCCCAGGTATAACGAGGTCTCACATGTGACCGAGTGAAAGTTTTGACAAGAAAATTACTCGAAAGCTGGAGAACTGGAAGTTTGAAATTTCGGAACAATGTTCATCGTCCAAAGTCTCAAATTCGGCTTTCACGTGTGTTTGCGTCTCTAGCAAGTGAAATTTTTAATGGGAAATTTCACAGCTTAGGAACCAAACTTAGCATATTGACTGTTTTTTCACACACCAATGTATGAAGCAGTGAAAATCCTTAGGAGGCAAACGTCTCCTGATCGAAACTTCGCAAAACGCTTAGTCATACCGGCTGCCCTGGGAGGGCTGCTATTTATCATGTATTTTAGTCTTTTAATGCATCACAGTATGCGTCTTTGCCGACTGTTGCTTTGTAACATTTAGCTGCAAAAACATATAGTGTGATCTTCGGTGTGTGCGTGTGCCCCTCCAGTTATTTGAACTCAGCAACCAAGTATGGACGTCGAAATTTTGCCTGTGAATTTTCTGGCAAAGTGCTATCCCAGAAAGATGACATCAACCTTCACGTGCGTTTAAATCTCATGAATGGGAACATGAAAGTTTTGGAGGGAAAATTGACGGCTTCGAAATCAGAAAAGCTGGAAAGTCGGAATTTCAAAGCATTGTTTACTGTCCAAATAGAATTCCCAAGTATGCTTGCTTCTCACGTATGAGTATGTGAATTTTTAGACGGGAAAAATGCTAAGCCGGGAATCAGAAAAGCTAGAAAGCTGAAATTTTAAGAGCATGTTCTTTTTCTATAAACGGCTCAAAAATTTCAAATATAGTCTCTTAATATGCTTTATTCTCACATATGAGCATGCAAAATTTTTATTTAATTTCGTCATTCCTCCCTTTCCACATCCTGTTCATTGCACAGTTTATTATGCGTTTTTGCATGCATACAATTGCATCCCAGGCTGGAAGGCACCAGGCTTCCCGGAAAGATCATGCGATTTTGTACCAAATTTGGAATAGTCAAGTTGTTAACTACATGGACCGCGTTAGCGTAAATCATCGTAAATTTTATATAAAGGAAAATGAACAGTTCCTTAAAAATGGCCTAACTGTTCAGCGAGCCGTTTTCTCGTCAAAACTTTTAAATGCCTGTACGTGAGAATAACACATACCTGGAGATTAAATTTAAAATCTTTGAGTTTTACTTGGATAAGGAACATTGCCCTAAAATTCTGTCTTTCCAGTATTTCTGATTCGCGAATTAGTAATTTTCCCGCCATAACTTTCACGTGCCCACGCGTGAGTACACGCATACCTGCCGGCTTAATTTGAAGCCTTTAGTTTACACATGCACAGAGAATATCCTTGCGAGGTTTCAGCTCTCTATCTTCTCTGACTCCTGAAATCGACTTCTCACCAAAAAATCCGCATATTTTTTGAAGCGCTCGTACGTGAGACCCAGGCACACGTAGATGATAATATTAAAACAGGATGGTGAGCATATGCTTTCAGAGTTTCAGCTTTCTAGCTTTTCTGGTTCTCGAGCTAAAAGCAGGTGACAAAAAGAATGTACACATACATACACACACATACAGCCTCTTGCCAATATGCGTTTTTGCAATTGCATGTATACAGGAATGCAAAAAAGCGTATATTGTGACGACCCATGGTGTATGTGCGTGTGTTTGTGTATGTGTGCGTGTTTGTTGCATGCTTCTGTCCGGGTTTTCTAACTCGATAAGCAATCAAGCGTCGGGGCTAAATTTTTGCGAGTTGTTTCTCCGGTCAAGTGCCGCCCCAAGATCGCAGTCCCAACCTCCAACCCTGCATACGAGCACGTGAAAATCAGGTGGGAAAACTGCTAACTAGGGAACTAAAAAGCTGGGAGGCTGAAGTTTTATAAGGATACTCTCTATCCACGGGGAATTTAAACACTTGAGATTCAGCCTCCAGTTCTGCCTGGTTCTCACTTATGAGCATGTGAAAATTTTTGGTAGGAATTTTCACATGCTCATAAGTGAGAACCAGGCATAACTTCGGATCCGGAGAAGCTGGATGACTGGAATTATAAACGGATTTTCCCCGCCCAAATGCAACATAAAGACTTGAAATTCAGCCTCCAGGTACCTGTGGCACTCACGCACGAGCACGTTAAAATTTTGGCAGGAAATTACAAAAACACGTGAAGAGGTGATTAGTGCAATGGAAAGTCCTGTCTGAACACTTACATAAGGATGTGGATGAGAAAAGATCAATAAAGCGAGGGAACGAAGATAGCAGCTGCATCAATGGGAAGAAGCGCGGCGTTGAAACAACAGCTGATCAACTATGTATCAAAATATTCATAGCCCTGTTAAGGCACGCGTAACTATCAATCCCTTTCAAGTATCTGCTATAAAAAGTTCTGCTTGAAGTTGCTCGTATCATACCCCATTTTAGACACGGTTTTTTGAGCCGACTTTAATACGTGGTATGCTGCCAACAAAGTCCAATTCATTTCACGGTATTTTCCAAAGTCAGAATTATTTCATCCGTGAAATGTAAATAGTTCAGCTATTTGCCACTTACTAACTTAGCGTACGAAAACCACCTCGAGATAAGTTATAAAAAGACTTAGCAAAAAAAGCATCTCCTTACCTTGCGCTTTTTCGGACTGCCGTGGGCTAGGATAGCTAATGATCTAAATAGCGCGTGTTGGTTTGATTATGCGACTGGTTTTTTTTTTTTTTTTTCATTGGAAAAAATTAGTAGTAATTCTCGACACCACACCAATATGAAAAAGCGCTAATATTTCAATCGATAAAATATCAGATTGCGTTCTTACTGTTACGACAAACCATTTCAATCAGCTCAAATTACTGATAACAGCTATTTCAGAAAAGAGGGACCAAGCAAACGCTTCGCTCTTCCATACAGCAATTATTTTGATCAGAACGATTTTTTATGTAGAACTGCATCCAGCATAAAAATTCGTGAAAATTATAGGAAATTTAAGAGTTTTTAAGATTCTACTGGGAGGGCATGAAAGCGAAGGAACGCACTCTTTCGTTGATTTCGATGATTTTCGT